CGTGAAGTTTAGCTCTCTTAGTCTTTCCTCGTAGCTCATCCTTCTCAGTTCTGGGACTAGTCTGGTGGCATACCTCTGAATCTTCTACTAACTTTATCTTGTGTTTAACTAGGTATGGACTCAAGTTGGAGCTGCATATTCCAGGACTGGTCTGATATAAGTGGTATACAAGGTCCTGAACGATTCCTTACACAAGTTTCTAAAGGAAATTCTTATGTTGGCCAATCTAGCATATGCCGCTGATGATATCCTTTTGATGTGATCCTCTCGGGACAGGTTTGGTGTGATATCAACCCCCAGATCTTTCTCTCTATTTGACTCTTGCAGGGTTTCTCCTCCCAGAGGGTACCTTGTGTTCAGCCTCCTGCTCCCTTCGCCTAATTTCATTTCTTTACACTTTCCTGAGTTGAACTTTAGAAGCCATTTTCTATAGCATTCCACCAGTTTGTCCAGGTCATCCTGTAGTCTCTGTCTATCTTTATCTGTTTTTATTCTTCTCATAATTTTGGCATCATTAGCAAACATTGGGAGGAATGAGTCTATATCTTCTGGAAGATCGTTTACATATGTTAGAAACAGGATGAGTCCAAGAACAGAGCCCTGTAGGACTCCGCTGGTGACATCTCGCCATTCTGCTACCTCCTCCTTCACAGTTACTCGCTGTTTCCTCTTGCTTAGATACTCCCTTGTCCATTGGAGCATCTTACCTTTTGCTCCTGCCTGTTGTTCCAACTTATGTAACAGCCTTTCATGGGGCTGTAACAAAAGTGGGGTGTCAAAAGCTTTCTGACAGCTCAAGAAAATGCAGTCTACCCACCTTTCTCTTTTTTGCCTAATTTTTGTTGCTTGGTCATAGAATTCTATTAAGTCTGCGAGGCACGATTTCCATCTCTGAATCCTTGCTGGTGGTGTGTTAGAAAGCTATTTCCCTCCAGATATTCTACGAGGCTTTTCCTCGCGATCTTGTCCATCACCTTGCATGGTAAACAAATTAGAGAAACTGGCCTGTAGTTCAGTGCCTCTTGTCTATCACAATTGTTGTATATTGGGACTACATTAGCTGTCTTCCAGCTTTCCGGTAGGTCTCCTGTTTCCAGTGACCTGCTATACACAATGGAGAGTGGCACCCTTACTGCTTCTGCACCCTCTTTTAGTATCCACGGTGAAATTCTGTCAGGCCCAACAGCCATTGTCACATTCAGCTCCAACAGATTCCTTTTGAATCTGATTCAAATTCTTCCAAGGTTGCTTGGTTTGCCGCCTCCTTATTTAGTGCAGGGGCTTCTCATTGTTATATTGTGAAGACCTCCTGGAATCTCTATTTGAGTTCTTCACACACCTCCTTGTCATTCTCTGTGTATCTGTTCTCCCCTTTTCTCAGTTTCATCATTTGTTCCTTCACTGCTGTTTTCCTCCTGATGTGGCTGTGGAGCAGCTTTGGTTGGGTCTTGGCTTTACTCGCTATGTCATTTTCATACTGTCTCTCTGCTTCTCTCCTCACTCTGAGGTACTCATTCCTGGCCCTCTGGTATCTCTCCCTGCTCTCCGGTGTTCTGTTGTTCCTGTAGTTTCTCCATGTTCTTGTACTCATTTACTTCGCTACCTTACATTCCTGATTAAACCATGGATTCTTCTCCTGCTTTCCATTTTCTTCTTTTTGGGCCGGGATTACTGTTGTCTAAGTGTTGATGCCCCGTAAGTGCCGCAGATGTCTTCAACACAGTGTTGTCGTTATGAGATGCCGCTATCATCGTCCTCAGTGGTGTCATCACCATCATCGTCACGGTACTATTTTCACTATCATTGTCCTCAGAAGCATCTTCACTATCACCTTAACTATATCCGACAACTGATTGTACAAACCCTCTCAAGGATAAAAGTTCCGATTTAAGCGTTTCCACAATCCACTAAACTCCCCGTCTCCATCTCAATTACTGACTGATTGTACCTCCTTTTCATTGAGCTGATTGTATTTTCTACTCGATAAGCTCCTACTCGTTGTATTTATTTGTCAATGTTGCACATGCTACCGGAATGGCAATGAGCACACGAGCCGTCACAATATTTGATATATAAACGGTCAGAAATTTTAAACATCAGAAAAACTGACGCTAATGAACATCACAATGAACTAGCAATAATAAACTTCACTGTGGAAATGTGAATAGATTTCCAATATTTGTATATATCAATTTATGTTACAGTGAGCGAAGGTGTTACAAATCTATAATGACACTTGACCCGTGCAGCGGAGATCAAGTGTGTAATTACAACAAAATACAAAATACAAATGTTTATTCAGGTAAGGTACATACATACAAGGTAAGATACAAAAGTTGATGGATCTGTAGTACATACAATGCCTAAAGCCACTATTACGCAAAGCGTTTCGGGCAGGATTTAAGCTCATTTCGATAAACATAGTACTCGATCCCACATGTTGGAAGTAAGGTATTAACTAATGGAGCAAACTTAGCTTGGCCCATGTAAACTATCCGATATCAGCTCTTAAACAGCTCACCTTAAGCGTCCCGCTGACAAAACATTGAGAACAGTAGATTGGGATTGAAAGTTGAAAAGGAGTTGCTGCTACTAACCGTTGTGCTGTGCCACGCTGGCCGCTGCTACTCCTTCCATCGCGGTCTATCTGTCAATGGACAAATATAATTAAATTAAAAACAACAATCAAACACAAAAAACACCAAAGTGTCAACAATCCAAACACATAACTAAGCCAACTAGTAAATCAAGTGTAAGATCACTTTATACACAAGTGTCGGACTCCAAGAGTTCAACCCGAGGCTCATCAACTGTATCTTTAGAATAAGTGCCTTGTTTGTTGCGACAGGCCTGCCTATATGACACCATAAAGCCATAGTTAACACTGATACCCGTAGCTGGATACTAGCGAATTACTCTCGGAAACAGATGCATTATACCTGCTTGATGCCTGCTTGATGGGGTTTTGAGAGTTCTTCTACACCCCAAGCCCGGCCCGAGGCCAGGCTTGGGTTGTGAGAGTTCGGTCCACCAGGCTGATACTTGCAGCGGCCCGCAGGCCCACATACCCACCACAGCCTGGTTGGTCCGGCACTCCTTGAAGAAAACTATCTAGTTCTCTTGAAGACGTCTATTATATTAAACAACTCTACACATAGCAGTGTACACATGTAAGTATGCATAATGTTGTACAGCTCTTGTTCTGCACACGGAATTGTACACATCTGGCATTGCGAACTTGAAATCAAGAAGCAGGATAATATCTGTCAGGCTTGTGTGACCTCGATGATATAGAGCGCTGATGGGAACTTGAGCTCCTCTTATCTGCGTATCGATGACCCTGTTATCATGACGAATTCCTTCATTATTTCCTCACCATTACTGATACTATTATATATAAAGGGCTCGCTTCGTCATTCTCTGCTGGCTGTTTAACTTGATGTCATACCTGAAGTGTAAACTAATACGCTTTATAATGTTACAAATATTACTGGAGCTCTACTAGTTAGTATTCCATATGAAAGTTTCTGTGATACCTGCCCTGGGAGCTGATATATGTACCTCCAGGTCCTCTCCTGGAGGTGTCTGTCAGGGTGCCTTTATGGATATCTTCAAGCACGCTTCAGGACAGAGCGAGCTTCTAGATATCCATAAAGACTCTAGTGGCGTGACTGAGACTACAGAATAAATTATACCAACATTTCTTCGACCGCTGCCTCCTGCCTCAGCCTCAGTTTGTTCATGGGGCATCGAAGGTCTCAGAGGAAACTGCCTTCTCGTCGGCCACTGAGTGCTGAGAAGCGTAGCATCATCCCAATTTGTTTAATGTGAGTAAATAATCCTAAAGCTTACGGAATAACCTCCTCTTCACCGAACCTGATTTCCTTTCCTAACTTTGTCCCATTGATACTCGTAGCTGTGAACTAATGCTGACTTTATTTAAATAAATTTTAATGTCGAACTGGTCGCTGACTGATATTCTAGTTATGGTGGTCCCCAGAACGAGACCAAAGTGACGGCCGAACGAGTCTTATAATTATTCTTACTGAAAGACTCGTCCTCTGGCTGAGATGAGCATAAAGAAGCGCAAGGCTTCTTTATACAATGTATAAAGAAGTATATACTTCTTAATATACAATATGAACTAGTTGCTCTAGGAGCAACTACTCTGACACCGCCAGCAAGGAGTAGTCCGACACAAACCATTTCAATACCAAGTCATGACAACATCTTGAAGGCGCAGTCTCAATTCCGGACATTACAACACTTACACTGTCTATTTTAGGGTGAACAAAAGTTAAGTGACTTTCTTGCAGTGTTAAATGAAAGTAACCGGGAAGTAGTTGATGATCTCAGGGCCACTGTGAGAGGAGTGTTGATCCACCGTAGACCACAGTGTTGACGTCGACTGTGTTATAATGGAGTGCTACTGTGATTACAGGTAATTATCAGGAGAAAGCGCTAAGTATAAGTATACAACACTTGGAAGGGATACGAGGACAAGGATAACAAAAAAAGGATCGGGGACAGGACGGAGTGAAGGAATGATGCCAAACCACTTGGACCGTCGGGAATTCAGGGTATACCTGCAAGACGCGAGTCCGTCGCTAGTCCAAGTGGGTGGACTATACAGAGTGGCTCCGGAATTTACATACAGCAATCTAAGCATACTGAAAAGTTCGCTAATGTTATTTTAGGCTTGGCCAATCAATGCCTGGAGATTAGAGGAAGGTAACTTTACATACAGTGAGAACCGTTGACCTGTATTGTTGAGGAGCGTGTGAGGTGGTTGGTCGACCATCTGAACCAATCATAGTTGCTCTGAGTATACCTGAAACACTTCACATGTGTTACAAGGGTTCAGTGTCCTACGGATACCCAGCGCCTCAGTCTTACACCCTGTATAGCATCTGTGCCTCGTAATCAGTAGTGAGATCAGTTCTGACCTTGATTTGAGTGTTTGGTGTTCGCCAGGTCCATAAAATGAGTGCCTGTGTATAGGTGTTTGGGTCTCCCATCATAACATGTGTGGCACACTTCCAAACATGTCCTAGCCGTTTCGTATTATATACTAACTCGGCTGTAAGCTGTTATTAATAGCTGGAACAGCCATGAGTACGACATGTACACTGAAGAGCCATGAGTACATGACATGTACACTGAAGAGCCATGAGTACGACATGTACACTGAAGAGCCATGAGTACGACATGTACACTGAAGAGCCATTAGTACATGACATGTACACTGAAGAGCCATGAGTACGACATGTACACTGAAGAGCCATGAGTACGACATGTACACTGAAGAGCCATGAGTACGACATGTACACTGAAGAGCCATGAGTACATGACATGTACACTGAAGAGCCATGAGTACATGACATGTACACTGAAGAGCCATGAGTACATGACATGTACACTGAAGAGCCATGAGTACATGACATGTACACTGAAGAGCCATGAGTACGACATGTACACTGAAGAGCCATGAGTACATGACATGTACACTGAAGAGCCATGAGTACGACATGTACACTGAAGAGCCATGAGTACGACATGTACACTGAAGAGCCATGAGTACATGACATGTACACTGAAGAGCCATGAGTACATGACATTTACACACTGAATAGCCATGAGTACATGACATGTACACTGAAGAGCCATGAGTACATGACATGTACACTGAAGAGCCATGAGTACATGACATGTACACTGAAGAGCCATGAGTACATGACATGTACACTGAAGAGCCATGAGTACGACATGTACACTGAAGAGCCATGCGTACATGACATGTACACTGAAGAGCCATGAGTACATGACATGTACACTGAAGAGCCATGAGTACATGACATGTACACTGAAGAGCCATGAGTACGACATGTACACTGAAGAGCCATGAGTACATGACATGTACACTGAAGAGCCATGAGTACGACATGTACACTGAAGAGCCATGAGTACATGACATGTACACTGAAGAGCCATGAGTACGACATGTACACTGAAGAGCCATGAGTACATGACATGTACACTGAAGAGCCATGAGTACATGACATGTACACTGAAGAGCCATGAGTACATGACATGTACACTGAAGAGCCATGAGTACATGACATGTACACTGAAGAGCCATGAGTACGACATGTACACTGAAGAGCCATGAGTACGACATGTACACTGAAGAGCCATGAGTACGACATGTACACTGAAGAGCCATGAGTACGACATGTACACTGAAGAGCCATGAGTACATGACATGTACACTGAAGAGCCATGAGTACGACATGTACACTGAAGAGCCATGAGTACGACATGTACACTGAAGAGCCATGAGTACGACATGTACACTGAAGAGCCATGAGTACGACATGTACACTGAAGAGCCATGAGTACATGACATGTACACTGAAGAGCCATGAGTACGACATGTACACTGAAGAGCCATGAGTACGACATGTACACTGAAGAGCCATGAGTACATGACATTTACACACTGAATAACCATAGCCCAATGTTCTTATATGATTGAAACTACCGATGACACCATTGACTCACACGTCACGCTCTACTTCCTGCACGAGCACCATAAACCATTGAATGGTGAGTGTGGCGGGGAAGGTGGAGGTGAGTAAGGGGGGGGGGGTAGTGGCCATTCGACCAGTTGCAACCGAGAGACTATTAATGAGCTCAGTATAATCTTTCTCCATACCATCGACCCCATACAGGTGTACACCTGAAGACGTCCTCGAGGGCTCTCTCCACTCGCTGCCTCAAATATCTGACACACACACACACACACACACACACACATAGGGGGGACATGATCACCACATTCAAGATTCTGAAGGGGATTGATAGGGTAGATAAAGACAGTCTATTTAACACAAGGGGAACGCGCACAAGGGGACACAGGTGGAAACTGAGTGCCCAAATGAGCCACAGAGATATTAGAAAGAACTTTTTTAGTGTCAGAGTGGTTGACAAATGGAATGCATTAGGAAGTGATGTGGTGGAGGCTGACTCCATACACAGTTTCAAGTGTAGATATGACAGAGCCCGATAGGCTCATGAATCTGTACACCTGTTGATTGACGGTTGAGAGGCGGGACCAAAGAGCCAGAGCTCAACCCCCGCAAACACAACTAGGTGAGTACACACACACACACACACACACACACACACACACACACACACACACACACACACACACACACACGAGGTAGGGGCCTCGTAGCCTGGTTATCTTGAGGTTATCTTGAGATGATTTCGGGGCTTTTAGTGTCCCCGCGGCCCGGTCCTCGACCAGGCCTCCACCCCCAGGAAGCAGCCCGTGACAGCTGACTAACTCTCGGGTACCTATTTACTGCTAGGTAACAGGGGCATTCAGGGTGAAGAAACTTTGCCCATTTGTTTCTGCCTCGTGCGGGAATCGAACCCGCGCCACAGAATTACGAGTCCTGCGCGCTATCCACCAGGCTACGAGCCCCCCCCCCTGGATAGCGCGCAGGACTCGTAAGTCTGTGGCCCGGGTTCGATTCCCGGATCAGGCAGAAACAAATTGGCAAAGTTTCTTTCACCCTGAATGCCCCCCTTACCTAGTAGTAAATAGGTACCTGGGAGTTAGACAGCTGTTAAGGAGCTGCTTCCTGGGCGTGTGTGTGTGGGGGGGGGGGGAATTAGTTAGTAGTTAGTAACAGTTGATTGACAGTTGAGAGGCGGGCCGAAAGAGCAAAGCTCAACCCGCGCAAGCACTATTAAGTGAATACACACAGACACCCCCCCCCCCCCCCCATCCCCGCTGCCTCTGCTTAAATAGTGTTTTACACAATAAAGAATCTAACACACCATATTTCTGCGAGTTATTGTGTATTCTTTGTTCTCCCGCAGCGTGTAGTTGGCGCTACAGGCACGACGATGTGTCCCCCCCTCTTCCATCCCTCCCTTCCCTCTCACCTTCCCATCTCTCCCTCCATATTTCATCTCTTTCTGTCTCCTTCCTGTTTCCAGTTCCGTCTGTTCCTGGCGCCGTAAGCATGCCTGGCCCCGCCCCACCACGTACACGGCCATACTAGAAGGGAACATCACCAGTAAGAGAGGTGTGGGCCCCACCGACGCCAACATGACCAGTAAGAGAGGTGTGAGCCCCACCGACGCCAACATGACCAGTAAGAGAGGTGTGAGCCCCACCGACGCCAACATGACCAGTAAGAGAGGTGTGAGCCCCACCGACGCCAACATGACCAGTAAGAGAGGTGTGAGCCCCACCGACGCCAACATGACCAGTAAGAGAGGTGTGAGCCCCACCGACGCCAACATGACCAGTAAGAGAGGTGTGAGCCCCACCGACGCCAACATGACCAGTAAGAGAGGTGTGAGCCCCACCGACGCCAACATGACCAGTAAGAGAGGTGTGAGCCCCACCGACGCCAACATGACCAGTAAGAGAGGAGTGTGGGCCCCACCGACGCCAACATGACCAGTAAGAGAGGTGTGGGCCCCACCGACGCCAACATGACCAGTAAGAGAGGTGTGGGCCCCACCGACGCCAACATGACCAGTAAGAGAGGTGTGGGCCCCACCGACGCCAACATGACCAGTAAGAGTGGTGTGAGCCACACCGACGCCAACATGACCAGTAAGAGTGGTGTGGGCCCCACCGACGCCAACATGACCAGTAAGAGAGGTGTGGGCCCCACCGACGCCAACATGACCAGTAAGAGAGGTGTGAGCCACACCGACGCCAACATGACCAGTAAGAGAGGTGTGAGCCACACCGACGCCAACATGACCAGTAAGAGAGGTGTGAGCCACACCGACGCCAACATGACCAGTAAGAGAGGTGTGAGCCCCACCGACGCCAACATGACCAGTAAGAGAGGTGTGAGCCACACCGACGCCAACATGACCAGTAAGAGAGGTGTGAGCCCCACCGACGCCAACATGACCAGTAAGAGAGGTGTGAGCCACACCGACGCCAACATGACCAGTAAGAGAGGTGTGAGCCACACCGACGCCAACATGACCAGTAAGAGAGGTGTGAGCCACACCGACGCCAACATGACCAGTAAGAGAGGTGTGAGCCACACCGACGCCAACATGACCAGTAAGAGAGGTGTGAGCCCCACCGACGCCAACATGACCAGTAAGAGAGGTGTGAGCCACACCGACGCCAACATGACCAGTAAGAGAGGTGTGAGCCCCACCGACGCCAACATGACCAGTAAGAGAGGTGTGAGCCCCACCGACGCCAACATGACCAGTAAGAGAGGTGTGAGCCACACCGACGCCAACATGACCAGTAAGAGAGGTGTGAGCCCCACCGACGCCAACATGACCAGTAAGAGAGGTGTGAGCCCCACCGACGGCCAACATGACCAGTAAGAGAGGTGTGAGCCCCACCGACGGCAACATGACCAGTAAGAGAGGTGTGAGCCCCACCGACGCCAACATGACCAGTAAGAGAGGTGTGGGCCCCACCGACGCCAACATGACCAGTAAGAGTGGTGTGAGCCCCACCGACGCCAACATGACCAGTAAGAGAGGTGTGAGCCCCACCGACGCCAACATGACCAGTAAGAGAGGTGTGAGCCCCACCGACGCCAACATGACCAGTAAGAGAGGTGTGAGCCCCACCGACGCCAACATGACCAGTAAGAGAGGTGTGAGCCCCACCGACGCCAACACTCTCCTCCGGCAATCTGATAAGAGCGCCAGGTTTATGGCTGGCCAAGTTTTACTTCCTAAAGTCACTCAATCAAAACTTGCTACAACTTGGAGAGGGAATGTATGTTCCAGGAGGAGGCTTAGGGGGGGGGGAGGTGGAGGTGTGTGGGGAAGGTGGAGGTGAGTGTGGTGGGGCAGGTGGGGGTGAGTGTGGTGGGGCAGGTGGGGGTGAGTGTGGGGGTAGTTGGTGGATGTGTGAGTATCTAGGTGTGGATGAGGGTTTGAGAGGGTGGATGAGCCTATGCATATATGTTGTGAATACTGATATTGATATACAGGTGAGTGTGTTGATGGATGAGAATATGAATGTGTGGATGGGCGTGGATGGAGTCAGGTGACGTTGTCGATGTCATGGAATCAGAAACTTGTGAAATGCAAAAAGGGTATAGAGTAAAGGAATGATCCAACAACTGGCTACTAGAATTTAACTCAAGCAAGTGTAAGGTGATGAAGAAAGTTGTATGGGGTAGGAGGCCAAACACAAGGTAACAGCTGGGAGAGGAAATCCATCAGGAATCAGGATGAAAGTTCTGGGGGTTGATATCACGCCAGACCTGTCCCCCTGAAGCCCACATCAAAACTACAACATCAGCGGCGTATGCAAAGTTGGCGAACATAAGAAATGCCTTCAGAAACTTGTGTAAAAAATCATTCAGACTTTTAACTGTATACCTCGTATGTCAGACCAGTACTGGAATATGCAGCTCTGACGTGGAGTCCACATCTAGTCAAATACAAGACGAAATTAGAAAAGGTTCAGAGGTATGCCACGAGGCTAGTCCCCGAGCTGATGGGTATGAGCTATGAAGAAATATTACTGGAACTAAACCGTACGACACTGGAAGACAGAAAAGTTGGGGGAAACATGATCACTAACTATAAAATTCTCAGAGTAGATAAATATAAACTGTTTAGCATGGGTGGTAAGTGAAGAAGGGGACACAGATGGAACTTAGTACCCAAATGATTCACAGGGAAGTTAGAAAGAACTTTTTCAGTGTCAGAGTACTTAACAGGTGGAATGCATTAGGCAGTGATGTGGTGGAGGGTGACTCCATACACAGTTTATAATGTAGATATGATAGAGCCCGTAGGCTCAGGAATCTATACACCAGTTGACTGACGGTTGAGAGGCGGGACCAAAGAGCTAGAGCTCAACCCCCGCAAGCACAACTAGGTGAGTACAGGGCGGGAGGCCACAGCCTCAAAAGTTTCCTCTCTCCCAGCAGGAGATGACGACACCAAAGATAAGGCTATTAGGAAGTCCGAAACTTTCCTGACTGCTCTGAGGGAGGTTGTGGAAGATGGGGGAGGTAGGGGAAGAGGCGGGGTGAAGGAGGGCCCGACACCATACAAGACATTAAGTCAACCCAAGAGCCTGCGGGACACCCGCGCCCGCCTCAAGAGCCTGCGGGACACCCGCGCCCGCCCAAGAGCCTGCGGGACACCCACGCCAGCCCCAAGAGCCTGCGGGACACCCGCGCCCGCCCAAGAGCCTGCGGGACACCCGCGCCCGCCCAAGAGCCTGCGGGACACCCGCGCCCGCCTCAAGAGCCTGCGGGACACCCGCGCCCGCCCAAGAGCCTGCGGGACACCCACGCCAGCCCAAGAGCCTGCGGGACACCCACGCCAGCCCAAGAGCCTACGGGACACCCACGCCAGCCCAAGAGCCTGCGGGACACTCGCGCCCGCCCAAGAGCCTGCGGGACACCCGCGCCCGCCCAAGAGCCTGCGGGACACTCGCGCCCGCCCAAGAGCCTGCGGGACACCCGCGCCCGCCCAAGAGCCTGCGGGACACCCACGCCAGCCCAAGAGCCTGCGGGACACCCACGCCAGCCCAAGAGCCTGCGGGACACCCACGCCAGCCCAAGAGCCTACGGGACACCCACGCCAGCCCAAGAGCCTGCGGGACACCCACGCCAGCCCAAGAGCCTGCGGGACGCCCACGCCAGCCCAAGAGCCTGCGGGACACTCGCACCCGCCCAAAAGCCTGCGGGACACCCGCGCCCGCCCAAGAGCCTGAGGGACACCCACGCCAGCCCAAGAGCCTGCGGGACACCCACGCCAGCCCAAGAGCCTGCGGGACACCCACGCCAGCCCCAAGAGCCTGCGGGACACCCACGCCAGCCCCAAGAGCCTGCGGGACACCTGCGCCCGCCCAAGAGCCTGCGGGACACCTGCGCCCGCCCAAGAGCCTGCGGGACACCCACGCCAGCCCAAGAGCCTGCGGGACACCCACGCCAGCCCAAGAGCCTGCGGGACACCCACGCCAGCCCAAGAGCCTGCGGGACACCCACGCCAGCCCCAAGAGCCTGCGGGACACCTGCGCCCGCCCAAGAGCCTGCGGGACACCTGCGCCCGCCCAAGAGCCTGCGGGACACCCACGCCCGCCCAAGAGCCTGCGGGACACCTGCGCCCGCCCAAGAGCCTGCGGGACACCTGCGCCCGCCCAAGAGCCTGCGGGACACCTGCGCCCGCCCAAGAGCCTGCGGGACACCCACGCCCGCCCAAGAGCCTGCGGGACACCCACGCCCGCCCAAGAGCCTGCGGGACACCTGCGCCCGCCCAAGAGCCTGCGGGACACCTGCGCCCGCCCAAGAGCCTGCGGGACACCTGCGCCCGCCCAAGAGCCTGCGGGACACCCACGCCCGCCCAAGAGCCTGCGGGACACCCACGCCCGCCCAAGAGCCTGCGGGACACCTGCGCCCGCCCAAGAGCCCAATATGGAACACATCAGGAAGTCTCAGGAAGTGTGTGGGTGTCAGTCTTGGGTAAAGTTAAAGAGGTGTTGGTGAGAGCACGAGAACTGGGGGGTGAGAGTGAGGGGAGGGAGGGGTGAGAGGGAGGGGTGAGGGGGGTGAGAGTGAGGGGAGGGAGGGGTGAGAGGGAGGGGTGAGGGGGGTGAGAGTGAGGGTGAGAGGGAAGGGTGAGAGGGAGTGATGAGAGGGAGTGATGGGAGGGAGTGATGAGAGGGAGGGGTGAGAGGGAGCGATGAGAGGGAGTGATGGGAGGGAGTGATGAGAGGGAGGGGCGAGAGGGAGTGATGAGAGGGAAAGATAGAAGGGAGAGGAAGAATAAGAGCGGGTGGGAGGCAGGCATGAAAGAACACTATAGACACTAACAACAGCTGTGTTGATCCATTACTTTAGTATTTAAGTCATTACAAAATGGAGACCAGCTACCAGGCTTTTAGAAAACGGTCACAATAATAATACAAGAAAAGAAAGAGAAAACCCACTGAACTACGACCCAGAATCACTAAGAAGCTTCCTCTGCAAGTTCCTAAAATGTCTGACCCCGTGGAGACTCCAGCGATACAACTTTGAACAACTGATGTTACAATTCGTCACTGACAAGCTAATTAGGGTGTAAGAGCAAGATGATTGAAACCCAAGAGGAGAGCTGACACACTACACCTTCCTTGCTTGTTAGATAGCATCCGACACAACTCACACAACAGTCCTAATATCACTACAATCACCTTCTGTGGTTAGTTGTTCAATAAATCAAATAATATAACTATATGTTTAACAGATTTTTAACTTTGTCCATGGGCGACGGAAGAAAATTAATATATGTTGCTTAGCATCGTAAATGTGTGACCACGACTGTGATAGAAAATAGTAATCAAAAAATGGAAGAAAATAATAATAATAATAATAATAATAATAATAATAATAATAATAATAATAATAAAGTGTTGTACTCAGGGTAGAAAAGCAGGCTGGTGAATTCAGAAGTGTTATGTAATATATGGTAATATACTAGAGTGGAGAGAGATGGAATCATAGGCATGAGATCATGCCCATACTATTCTTAATATATTTCACCGACCTGACGGATGAACTATGATCCGTCGTAATAATGTTTACAGGTGATGCAAAACTAACGAGAAGGCTGAACACAGGAGGACGGTGATAACCTGCCAAGTGAACTAGACCACCTTGCTCCAGGCTCCAACAATGACGACTGAACATTAACACGGATAAATATAAAGTAATGAGAATATGAGTTGGAGTGTGAGGATCCACCCTAAAATACAGACCGAAGAGGAGTCATTCACGCAGCAGAAGAGGAGAAAGTCCTGAGGGTACACACAACCTCCAAATGATCAGAGGTTATCTTGAGATGATTTCGGGGCTTTAGTGTCCCCGCGGCCCGGTCCTCGACTAGGCCTCCACCCCCACGAAGCAGCCCGTGACAGCTGACTAACACCCAGGTACCTATTTTACTGCTAGGTAACAGGTGCATAGGGTGAAAGAAACTCTGCCCATTGTTTCTCTTCGGCGCCCGGGATCGAACCCGGGACCACAGGATCACAAGTCCAGCGTGCTGTCTGCTCGGCCGACCGGCTCCCTCAGAGACACAGTAGCAGAACAACAGCGGTATCGTACGCCACACTGGCTAAACAGTAGGAGCGTCTACATTAACTTGGACAAAGGTGCATGGAACCTTCCGGACGCAATACACAACCTGCGTGACATTATAAATAATGCTGGTCCCTGAGCTGTGGGGCCTGAGCTACGAGGAAAGACTGAAGGAACTGGACCTCACCAAACTGGAGGGGAGGAGGAATAGAGAGGATATGATAACGTCATCTAATATTCTAAGGAAACATTTGCAAAGGCAGACAAGCAATGTACCAAGTGAGGAGCAGAGCGAGGAACTATATAGAGTCATATAAGCCAAAGATGTGTCAGAAAGACCATAAGAGAGAGAGAGGAGGAGGGGGGAGAGGGGAGGAAAAGGGAATGAGGGAGGGGGTAGAGGAGAGGGGGATGATATGAGAATAGAATATAAAGGGAAGGAAATTGGGAGTGAGAGGGAGAGAAGAAGAGATGGGGGAGGGGGGGGGGAGCGAGACTCGGGCCCCGCCGGGTACCCTATCAAGTACCACTATATGTAGGACTCAGCAAGATGGAACGACAGTTACAGCCCCGTTCCTGTGCACTACGGTCCACTACGGGCTCACCATAGCCGTGCTACTTGGAACGTTTGGTCCCCAGTAGCTGAATCTAAAACAACAAAGAACAGAGAACGAAGACCAATATCACAACATGTCTTCTCCAAGTGCAGCGCACTAGAAGGTGAAGGGACGACGACGTTTCGGTCCGTCCTGGACCATTCTCAAGTCGATTGTGATGAGGAAGTAGATGCATGTCTTCTCCAATGCGCGTTGATTACCATAAACGGCAGAGTTTCTTCAGCCCATTTATTGATTGATGAAGGTTAGGCCACCCAAGAGGTGGCATGGGCATGAATACCCCGTAAGTGGTAGATTCTTCAGTCGACCAAATATGGGTACGCCCGCCTGTCAATGGGTTCATGACGCTGGTAGAACAAACGACCTGGAGAATAACGACACAAACAATCCACGTTGCTCTCTACGGCCCAAACGAATCGTTGAACAATTACAAACAGCTAGAACACGGGTCATTGACGGTGTTACGCATCACTCACTCTCACACGGGCTGTGTACTCTTCCTGCACGCTACACCCTGCTGCTCTACACTTCCCGCCACACTTTATATACACTCTCCCAACCCTTCCTGTTTGCCTCTCTGTGAGGTGGTGTGGCTGCTCTCTGTGAGGTGGTGTGGCTGCTCTCTGTGGGGTGGTGTGGCTGCTCTCTGTGGGGTGGTGTGGCTGCTCTCTGTGGGGTGGTGTGGCTGCTCTCTGTGGGGTGGTGTGGCTGCTCTCTGTGAGGTGGTGTGGCTGCTCTCTGTGAGGTGGTGTGGCGTGCTCTCTGTGAGGTGGTGTGGCTGCTCTCTGTGGGGTGGTGTGGCATGCTCTCTGTGGGGTGGTGTGGCTGCTCTCTGTGGGGTGGTGTGGCTTGCTCTCTGTGGGGTGGTGTGGCTGCTCTCTGTGGGGTGGTGTGGCTGCTCTCTGTGAGGTGGTGTGGCTGCTCTCTGTGAGGTGGTGTGGCGTGCTCTCTGTGAGGTGGTGTGGCTGCTCTCTGTGAGGTGGTGTGGCTGCTCTCTGTGGGGTGGTGTGGCTGCTCTCTGTGGGGTGGTGTGGCTGCTCTCTGTGGGGTGGTGTGGCTGCTCTCTGTGGGGTGGTGTGGCTGCTCTCTGTGAGGTGGTGTGGCTGCTCTCTGTGAGGTGGTGTGGCGTGCTCTCTGTGAGGTGGTGTGGCTGCTCTCTGTGGGGTGGTGTGGCGTGCTCTCTGTGGGGTGGTGTGGCTGCTCTCTGTGGGGTGGTGTGGCTTGCTCTCTGTGGGGTGGTGTGGCTGCTCTCTGTGGGGTGGTGTGGCTTGCTCTCTGTGGGGTGGTGTGGCTGCTCTCTGTGAGGTGGTGTGGCTGCTCTCTGTGAGGTGGTGTGGCGTGCTCTCTGTGAGGTGGTGTGGCTGCTCTCTGTGGGGTGGTGTGGCTGCTCTCTGTGGGGTGGTGTGGCTGCTCTCTGTGGGGTGGTGTGGCTGCTCTCTGTGGGGTGGTGTGGCTGCTCTCTGTGGGGTGGTGTGGCTGCTCTCTGTGGGGTGGTGTGGCTGCTCTCTATGAGGTGGTGTGGCTGCTCTCTGTGAGGTGGTGTGGCGTGCTCTCTGTGAGGTGGTGTGGCTGCTCTCTGTGGGGTGGTGTGGCGTGCTCTCTGTGGGGTGGTGTGGCTGCTCTCTGTGGGGTGGTGTGGCTTGCTCTCTGTGGGGTGGTGTGGCTGCTCTCTGTGGGGTGGTGTGGCTTGCTCTCTGTGGGGTGGTGTGGCTGCTCTCTGTGGGGTGGTGTGGCTTGCTCTCTGTGGGGTGCTGTACCTGCTCTCTGTGGGGTGGTGTGGCTTACTCTCTGTGGGGTGGTGTGGCTGCTCTCTGTGGGGTGGTGTGGCGTGCTCTCTGTGGGGTGGTGTGGCGTGCTCTCTGTGGGGTGGTATGGCGGGCTCTGTGTGGGGTGGTGTGGCGTGCTCTCTGTGGGGTGGTGTGGCGGGCTCTCTGTGTGGTGGTGTGGCGGGCTCTCTGTGGGGTGGTGTGGCGTGCTCTCTGTGGGGTGGTATGGCGGGCTCTCTGTGGGGTGGTGTGGCGTGCTCTCTGTAGGGTGGTGTGGCGTGCTCTCTGTAGGGTGGTGTGGCGTGCTCTGTGTGGGGTGGTGTGGTGTGCTCTCTGTGGGGTGGTGTGGTGTGCTCTCTGTAGGGTGGTGTGGCGTGCTCTGTGTGGGGTGGTGTGGCGTGTTCTCTGTAGGGTGGTGTGGCGTGCTCTGTGTGGGGTGGTGTGGCGTGCTCTGTGTGGGGTGGTGTGGTGTGCTCTCTGTGGGGTGGTGTGGCTTGCTCTGTGTGGGGTGGTGTGGCTTGCTCTGTGTGGGGTGGTGTGGCGTGCTCTCTGTAGGGTGGTGTGGCGTGCTCTGTGTGGGGTGGTGTGGCGTGCTCTGTGTGGGGTGGTGTGGTGTGCTCTCTGTGGGGTGGTGTGGCTTGCTCTGTGTGGGGTGGTGTGGCGTGCTCTCTGTGGGGTGGTGTGGCTGGCTCTGTGGGGTGGTGTGGCTGGCTCTGTGGGGTGGTGTGGCTGGCTCTGTGGGGTGGTGTGGCTTGTTCTCATTAATAATATATGTAATTGCTATCATATTTCAGAATGTTTAAGGTATTTAATTTGTGTTATTTATATAAAATAAGATATAAAAGTATGCCTTGATGCCTAGTACTTGGAACATTAACACGTGGCAGCTTGTATACTTTTACACTTGCCGTGACTGATAATATTTCGTGGTAATTATTTCCTCCTCATGGTCCAAATCATTTCAGTTATTCATCGTTCAGCACTAAAACTGTCCGTGATGTCATAAAAGGCTTTAAAGTCC